AGGTCTCGTGACTTTCGTCAAATCAAATTGTGCATAGAAAACTTTAACCGACAACTGTTTATCATGGCTGCTGGAAGTGCATTCTTCAAGCATCAATTCAGTCGCATCTTCCTCTAACTTAATATGTTAAGGTAAATATCGGATTTCTGCTTACTAAATGATTAATGTATCAAATGCGGTGTACAGCGTTTATTATGAGGGGGTAGAATCCACAGCTCAGTACTCACTACTCACTACTCATGAGTACTTTTAAATAGGTACTCTTTTACTCTTACTCAAGTAGTTTTTTGGACAAGTACTTTTACTCTACTCACACTACAGTTTTTGGAAGGTAATGGTACTTTTACTTGAGTATATTTTTTCAGTACTCTTTCCACCACTGCGGGTTTGGAACGAAATGGGGGTAAGTGATTAATGACCAAATTTTCATTTTGGGGTGGAATTCATGCAACTGTGGTTTATAGTCTACATTCAGTTTTTTTACTTCTGGCAATTTTATTTAGGCTTCAAAATTCATAAACATTGTTCATTTGTAAAATTTCACGATGAACAAAACCTAAGAATCAAAGTTTTGTTGGTCACAGAGAGATTTTCTTCAATAATCTAAAAGCCAATTGAAAAATTATATTAGGTTTTTGCTGAGGGAAAGAGGATACGATAACATCCGTACCGACCTCTGCTAGAAAGAACAGTCGGCTTTTCCATTTGTGTCCAATACTGTAATGTGTCCACAGGTGGCCATGCAGTTTATTACCATGTACAGCTATGAAGACATAGTCACAGCCAACATTGAGGGCAGCTCAGGGTCAGTGTGGCGGATCAGCCCACCGAGCAGACAGGAGCTAATAAAGGAACTGCTTGGCAGCACAGGTGACATGACCCTCCGTCTGGATTGGAACTTCCAAAGGTCAGTTTGATGGAGAAGGACAGTGGTTTTGAATTAAACTCGCTTCTGTTGGGAGTATAGGACCTCATGCTCATAATGTGTTTGTGTCTGAAAGGGACCTGGGGAAAGGTGGGACAGTGGAACATACTTTTGACAAGCACTCCATCAGTTTGTCACCGAAGAACCCAGTCAGAGCGGACCTGGCCTCGCTGCTTTTGGGCACCCGAAAGGATCCTGTGTAAGTTTTGTGACTACATGGGAGAAAAAGAATGAGTCATCCTAGATACACATCTCATGTAAAAAAAAAAAAATTCTTACAGAAAAAAAATTGTGAGGTGCACAAGTGATGATAGATCACTCTGTTCATTTTCATCACTTGCATCATCTTGGTTGCAGTTCATTTCAACACCAAACTCAATTGTTAAGGCCTATTCACACCAAAAATAACTAAAACGAAAACTATAAATAACTGGTTACATTTTAGTTTGGGGACCAATTCTCACTATTAAATACAACTAACAATTAAATACAACTTTTGCCTCAATAAACTCTTAATTTGCTGCTTATTAATAGTTACGCAGCACCTGAAAATAGGCAAATCCAACTTTTCATTTTCCGTAGTTTATATACTCCTGGTTTTCATAGTTAGTACACGATGTAACTACAGAAGAGTCAAGTTTTAAATAGGAAAAATATAGAAACTCTTTGGTCATTTTTGAGCGAGATGCTAATGATCAGCATTGATCTATGCTAAGCTACAGCTAAAAGTACTACCACCAGACCCGGAGATCAGCTGAATGGATTCTAAAACGGTAAAGCTCAACTGTTTAACTCGAGGGGAGTTGGAAAATGAGCCTATTTTCAAAAATTGTGTGTTCCTTTAATCCCCCAGTGTTCAAGACATGCTTATGGCCTTGTTTTTGGACTCACTCTGATTGTGATCATCTCTGTAATTTTCTTGTAGACATGTGCCGCACATGTTTCCTAACTACATCAGAGCACCTACTGGAGCTGAAGCAAAACCAGTTAGCCAGCTGTATGAAGGTAAAAAGCATTCAAACATCTTTTTAGTCAAGCACAATACATTCTCAGTAAATTTCCCTAATGATTTGTGAGGGATTTCCACCCTGTTTGAGACATACTGAACATTAATTTATACTGTTGTGTAACGTCATATTTACATCCAACTTCAAATGTACATCAAAACTTAAATATCCAAATATTCCTTGGTCTGTCATATACATTTTATGATGGATGGATCGATTGATTAATGGCAGAATGTGGCATAACAGGGTGGAATCAACATGGAACATTTATTTAAAATATTTTGTAATATTTACAGTAATCTCTATATATAAATCTTATTTTGTCCTGGCAGGTGATGAGGAGGGATATCAAAATGTGACTTTGTCACTGATGAGAGAAGCCTCTGTGAATACCACTGGAGCTCAAGAGTGGTGGGACATCAGCATTGCGGACTGCAGGGGGTCCTGTGGTGTTCTACCTATGGTCATCTTTAACGACAAAGTTAGCCCTCCAAGTTTGGGCTTTCTAGCAGGATATGGGTACAAAGCATTCATTCCTTTCATGAGATATAGTGCAGGCTTTTACTGTATTCACTGTCAACTCGATTGGAAAACATTTGATTTCTTGATTGTGCCAGTGTTATATGTTTCAGAATATTCCTCTAAACACGTCTCTCCTCCTCCTCCAGGATCATGGGTCTTTACGTGTCGGTGGTTCTGGTCATTGGCAAGTTTGTGCGAGGCTTTTTCAGCGAGATCTCTCACTCCATCATGTTTGAAGAACTGCCATGTGTGGACCGCATCCTCAAACTATGCATGGACATTTTCCTGGTTCGGGAAACCGGAGAACTGGAGCTGGAGGAAGAGATTTACTCCAAACTCATCTTCCTCTATCGCTCTCCAGAGACCATGATCAAGTGGACTAGAGAAAAGAATGAAGACTGAAACTGTTTTGTAGCTGGTGCAGCATCACGTGCTTGGATGTTCTGCATCATGATGTCCACTTCGGCCTCGAGGCCAGCTAGAACCAGTGGAGCTTTACTGCTCTTGTGAGCTTGTGACATTGTATAAGTTGGATGATTCAATGTCTCATGAACAATGAGTCTATAGCCATTTATCCAATGCTACGAATGTTGTTGGCTTCTTTGCACTCAGAGGTTGGATAACTGGGGTCAGGTTAAGCCTCTGCGTTATTCTGCCTGGACTGTGTTTAGTTTTGTCAGCAAGCCTGAAAATCAGCCTCTCTCAGAGGGACTCGATGTGAGTGATTCAGACGCTAACCCAGTGTCCTAGTGACCAGTGGGCGCAGAATGGTAGGACCTTCAAAGTGCAAATCCAAACACTATTGGAGTGAATCTCGCAAAACCATGTCTGGGTTATACTTTATCCCAAAATAACAGGAAATTATATTTTAGGACTATTCACTCAAAAATGAAATTTCTGTCATCATTTACTCACCTTCAAGTTGTTCCAAACCTGTCTGAGTTTCTTTCTTCTGTTGAACAAAAAGGTATGTTAAAAATGTATGTTACCAAACATACTTGCTCGTCCCCACTGACTTCAATTAGTATGGACAGGGGGAAAAATGCAATCAATTGTCAATGGGTTCCAGAAACCATTTGGTTACCAGCATTCTTCAAAAACATTTTGTGTTCAGTAGATGAAAAAAGGTTTGGAACAACATAGTGTTTAGTTTTGTCAGCAAGCCTGAAAATCAGCCTCTCTCAGAGGGACTCGATGTGAGTGATTCAGACGCTAACCCAGTGTCCTAGTGACCAGTGGGCGCAGAATGGTAGGACCTTCAAAGTGCAAATCCAAACACTATTGGAGTGAATCTCGCAAAACCATGTCTGGGTTATACTTTATCCCAAAATAACAGGAAATTATATTTTAGGACTATTCACTCAAAAATGAAATTTCTGTCATCATTTACTCACCTTCAAGTTGTTCCAAACCTGTCTGAGTTTCTTTCTTCTGTTGAACAAAAAGGTATTTTAAAAATGTATGTTACCAAACATACTTGCTCGTCCCCACTGACTTCAATTAGTATGGACAGGGGGAAAAAATGCAATCAATTGTCAATGGGTTCCAGAAACCATTTGGTTACCAGCATTCTTCAAAAACATTTTGTGTTCAGTAGATGAAAAAAGGTTTGGAACAGCATAAGGCTGAGTAAATCGTGACAGAATTTACATTTTTTCAGTGCACTTTCCTTTAAGATTTGTTTGTATAGGAAGTCTTAGCACTATTGCAGTTTTGCAGAGTTTATGACAATCGACTGATTTCTATAATATAATCTGGATTTTTTTTTTTCAATGATTCTTATTACTATAATACAGTAATATACTGAAATGATCAAAGTCGAGCCCAACTAATACTCATCGTGATATCATAATGTATTAATATTCCACAACTGAAATATTTTGAGTGCTTAATTGGCATGGAAATTGTCAGGCAAAAAATTATTAATAATAATTGTAACGATTACATAAGTAGGCTTCATTTTCTTTCTAGTGCTTGTAAGTTCTTGTGACTTTGGGGTGAAATATAACCCAGACATGGTTTTGTGAGATTTTCACTCATTTTAACTTTGTTTTTGTTCTGTTACTACAGCAAAAGTGTTTACACGCCAAAGTATCTTAGGATGAGAGCCATTTAGTATTTTGTTTCTGGTTTTACAATTTCTGATCAAACACTTGAAGTCATTTTTCCTCATAAAAAAACAATCAAGTAATTTGAATCTGACAGCTACGTTGTTGTTTTGAATGGAAAGCGCCACACTTCCATTCGCTAAGTGCTGGAATGCTGTGCTTGGCAATTAGGGTTATTAGAACATTGTGTAATTGTATATGTCTTAAGTGCACACATTGTGTAATGAGTGTGCCAAATTTCATCTGTAGGGGCTGGAATAATCATTTCCACTGTATGATTATGCAAAGGGCACAAACAAGTACTCTTTGCTTTTTTCTTCTTCTTCAGAAATCAAATGTGAGCCTGTAAAATTCCTTGCTGTGTAGCAGTTTGCTAAATTACGAGTTTAAGAATGTTGCCCTTCTGCACAAATAAATGACTATTAATGATTGTATGTCGTCTGAATTATTATTAAATGCAGACAAGGTTATATTGATTTAAATTTCAGCAGGCGTATTCACAAATTACTTTTTATTGACTTGCAAATGAAATAATTACTATGGAATACTTTTATGATTTGGTTTTGAATAGGGTGAAACCATGCATTAGCAAGGCTAACCCTAGATACAGTCCTATAGAGAAAGCTGTTAATCACTTTGTCTAAACCAGGGGTAGGCAAGTTCGGTCCTGCAGAGTTCCACTCCAACCCTAATCAAACACACCTGAACAAGCTAATCAATGTCTTCAGGATTACTAAGGCTATAGGCAGGTGAGTTTTTTTTTTTTCCGGGTTGGAGCTGAACTCTGCAGGACTGCAGCTCTTTAGGTCCGAACTTGCCTACCCCTGGTCTAAACCAAATATCTGTTAGTCTCCTTCCTTTATTTATTTTCCTGTCATTTTATTTATTTATTTATCTATATATTTATTCGTTTTTAATTTCTGCAGGTTTGGTCCTCCATATTAGCAAGGCTAACCCTAGATACAGTCCTATAGAGAAAGCTGTTAATCACTTTGTCTAAACCAAATGTCTGCTAATCTTCCTCATCGTCCTCCAAAAGGTACTCGCTGATTTCCATCTTCATTTGTGATCTGTGGAAAGAAACGGGTAAGTCTCATATATACAGGACAGGTACAAGCTCAACAAAAAGCTACAACTCCAGTGATATTTAGCAGAAGGTTGTTTCAAAATAGCTTCACAGTCATAAACGGGACAATAACTGGTAGTGTCAATGGTGCACAGTTCATCAATTATGACAGGACTTCAAGTTCAGCTGTAAAGCAGCTCTACAGAAGAAAACTGTCATTGTTCAGTTCAACGTTGACTCAATTTAGTTAAATAACAGTGTCAATGTTGCAAAGTTCATCAATTATGAAACAAGTTCAATTAGATCTACAGAAGACAATCATTATTTAGCTAAATTCAGTTTAGGTGTTTGTATTCTCATCCGATGGGGTCAGGTCTTTGTGTCACAACAGAATGAAATTTTAAGTCTTAAGTGGTCTTCCATAGGAGGAGGAAATCATTCTGGTTTGGAAAGCGTGAGTAAATGACAATTTTTAAAAATTTTTTTTATAAATTATTTATTTAGGTTATGGAGCAGCATTTCCCACCTTTTCTGTCGTTTTTCTGCCTCTGTTATGATGTAAGGTGGAAGAGTGTTTGTTGCTACCTGTAGGAGAGAGTAAGCTCATCTATTATTGACATTACTGATACATATTTATAAGTGGACAGTTGACATTTATTTCCCTAAAATAATGTTGATTCAGAATGTATATGAATGTTCATGTAAATAAGTCCTATCATGCAACACATTTTTGAAGTACAAATATTCCATATAGTCTCTAAATTTATATAAGCTCACAATATTTCAAATTTGAATCACAGTACTTATAAAAATAAATGGAAAAAATACTGTTTTATATGACATTACATGTGAAACTGCTGGACACTGCTGTGATGCCATGTCATCTACCACATACCACAATGAATTTGATGAATGCAGTACACGTAATGATTGGACCCATGAGTGCTGAGCTTTTCTCAAACTCACCATGTCCTTGATAGTGAGTCTACAGCTGTAACACAAGAGCGTCTTCAAGTCCTGATGTGAAGGCAACCTGAAATACAATTCAGAAAAATGGAAAAAAAGGCAAATTAAATCTTATAGCATCAAATACATTCCAACTACTGACTCCGCTTAAGCTAAAACTTCTAAAAAGAGCACAAATGGAGGACAAAACTCACCTGTTTGAGGAACAGCAGCCTCCAGGCCCACAACCCTGACCCTCTGTGCAGCACTGCTCTGCAGATTGTGCTGGTGCATCTAGAGACGGGTCCTGAAGTTTAATCTGGGACAGCTGCTCAGATACCAAAGTAGCATGGAAGGCAGAAGCTTTATCTGCAAAAAAAAAAAAAAAGTTTGTTGATTAAAGGGATAGTTCACCCAAAAATGAAAATGTGATGTTTATCTGCTTACCCCCAGGGCATCCAAGATGTAGGTGACTTTGTTTCTTCAGTAGAACACATATGATGATTTTTAACTTTAACCGTTGCAGTCTATCAGTCGTATAATGCATGGCAATGGTAACAAAATCTATGAGAGTAAAAAAAACATGCACAGACAAATCCACATTAAACCCTGTGGCGTGTGACGACACACTGATGTCCTAAGACACGAAACGATCGGTTTGTGCCAGAAACCGAACAGTATTTATATAATTTTTTACCTCTGATACACCACTATGTCCAACTGTCTTTGGGTCCAACTTCTTGGATGCCCTGGGGGTAAGCAGATAAACATCACATTTTCATTTTTGGATGAACTATCTCTTTAAGAATTATTCAAAACTCATAACCCTACTACAAAGACAGGCTTACGGTGGTTAAGCTGGTTTTTGGAACATGGTAGCTTTTTTGCATTAATGTAATAATCTGTTTTAAACTAGACTTTAAAATGGTAGGAGTAAAGGCAACTAGTTCACTGGAATAATTACACAATGACAGTAAAGTAACAATACAGTAAGTACATTTTGAATGGAATGCTACTAGAATTGTTATGCTTTTGTTGGTTTAAATTCTGAAATAACTGCTGACAGCACTATTTTTAGTCTTTTACAGTCAGTAGCGTGCCTGCAGCCTATCTGGCAGCAAATCACACCCACATCTCATCAATGCTCTTACTTTTATAAAATGCATCTATTGTGTATTAATAAGTATTTTACCCCATGGATTTTATGCACTTAGGCAAAACTCATACTCCGTAGTGCAATCTGCACTAGATGCATTTATTTCCACAGAGCTTGTATGTAAGTAAATCATGTAAAACGGGAGCTTTATGAGACAAATGAGCATAGGCAAGAGAGAGAGAATTCAATTATTTCCAACATGCACTCATCCAAGGCACTTTTATTTCATTAATGTTAAGTGGTTGAGAGTTTGATGGCATTGACTTCCACCATGTGACTCCATGGGTTCATTGCGTTTTCTTTGACAGATTTGATTTCCACTATGTGACTCTTTAAGTTTGTGCAATCCATTTATCCTTGGATGCAATATAACAAAACTGATTAAGGAAATATCCGATTAAGGAAAAATGCTTAAATATTGGGGAAAAAAATAACATGGTAAAAAGGATCATCGCTCAATCTCAACTGCAAATCAAACTCTGAGTCAGGAATTGAGGACCATGTCAACGTGTGACATAAACATGACCTTTGTTAGGTGCATAACCTACCTACTTTAGTGTCGAGAGTACAGAGACACAGCAGGCACTTGGAGGCAGGTTCAGCGGTTTGACTTTGAGGGGGCATTACCGTATGAAGTTTCTCAC